CGTGGCAGACCTGTATAAAATAGACACTTCAAACTTACAGGGCCCATTCACATCAGTGTGCTGCAATAATGCAGGTTATTCACATTGGTGAGATTCGCTGCTATTCATTCTGAACAGCTCTGCAACATACCTTTTCAGTGCACCACGAAGCATGGTAATGGTATGCACGTTTTTATGCGCATTTCCATGCATTATAACGCAAGTTCCAAAGGTGTGGAATTTAATATGCAAAGGTGTGGCCCTAAGAAACAGTTTCCATTTCCCTCTCTTGCATCACAGTATTAGAAAAAGGAGCAGATGAGATCTATCTATCTATCTATCTATCTATCTATCTATCTATCTATCTATCTATCTATCTATCTATCTATTCGTGATAATGTATATTATATATCACTGGCTGCCAGGATTGGGACATCCACAATGTATTTAATACATGGCAATCAAAGGGTTAATCCTTTTAATAACTACTTCTGTCCATGCTTTGCCAACACATATAATATTTAAAAGTATAAAGAGCTCTGAGACAAACAAACCATTGCGAGGATTGTGGCAGAGTCTGACAGTTTGCAATAGAGTGCAATAGTTAAGTTCCAAAGTATAAGAATTAATTAAATTACCACTAGAATAATTAACACTTCAATTAATCACACGCCTCAAAGGATGCCTCGGTAGATGTCTGATTTTATCAGTTCTTACTAATTGCTGGAAATGTTGCAAAGCCCTGAAAACAAATATTATTTGTCTTGCGAGATTTTTACATGAATTAGCTTCACTTTACGAAACTATAGCTAACCAATGCACTACTGTAGTGGAAAAAATAAATATTAGAATCATTTCATCACATATTTATTCTAAGAAGAATTCCATCTAAAGGTGGCCCTACACTGTACAACCCTCGCAAGACTATTGTCTTGCGAGGTTGGTCGCACGCCTTCCATACACTTTGCGATTATCGTACGATAATCCAGCCAAAACTCAACTTTAGTTTTGGATAAAGTAAAAAAGATCAGATCCTCTGTTGGGCTTTTATTGTTATCATCTATATTGTTATTATTTATGTTAATATTATTATTACCAACTGAATAGTTACAATAGCATAACATATAGGGATGCACGGATACCATTTTTTTCAAGACCAAGTGCAAGTACTGTTCCTCAAGTACTCGCCAAAACCAATTACCGATACTTTAAAAAAAAAAAACAATACAGACTAATAATTTTAGGACAGTGGTGGAAAATCAGGGCCCTGTCACAGCTCCAGCCCTGGTAGTTCTGCCACTGACTCCAAGCTGTAGAGGGGCTTAAAATCCCAGCAATACATTATACAGCTTTGCAGAAAGGCACCGGCTATAGAGGAATACAAATCCCAACAATCCATTATACAGCAATGCAGAATACCACCAGCTATAGAGGACTACAAATCCCAGCAATACATTCTAGAGCAATGCAGAAAAATATGAAGCTACATACTGTGTGTTGCTCACCAAGGCTGTGTGGCATCTCAGCAGGCTTTGCAAGATCTAATCAGGGATTTAAGAGGGTCTCAGGAGGCTGTGCGCG